ATGAATGATGAATGGATGATGGATTATGGTTGGATGATGGATGGATGACGATGGATGAATCATGAATGGATGATGGATGGATTTTTTTCATTCATTCAAACTTTATTTAGACAGGTTAATCCCATTGAGCCTCAGGGACTCATTTACAAGAGAGAGACCTGATTTCTTTAACAAAGAGTGACGACAACAGTCATAAAAGAGGCATACAAATTTATTTTTTTTACACAATAAAATAAAATGGCAACCTAAAGGACAGGACAAAAGGAAAAAGGAGAAAAGAAAAAAAAAAAACAAAACAGCTAGATTATAAGGCAGTGTAGAAAACTAAAAAAACATGTTTGCATTGGTTCTTGCCAGGAACTTAACAGATGTTTAAAGCGCCTTTTATGGATTATGAATGAATGATGGATGGATGATTGATGATGATGGATGGATTATGGATGGATGATTGATGATGATGGATGGATTATGGATGAGGATGGATGGATGATGGATGGATGATTGATGATGATGGATGGATGATGGCAGATTAAGGTTCAAGGTTCTTTATTGCCATTCACATCACATGTGGTACATGAGGTGGAGCAAAATTGTATACTGAAAGTCCCAGTTACACCCAAAGATAGCAAAAATATAAACTATAAAAAATAAACAGTACATAAGGATCTAAGATATACACTAAACAATAAGAATATAATATAATACGGCGTATTAAACATCAGCCTGGACATGAGTCTGTTACAAGCAGATGGGTATGAATACAACATCTTAAAGGCAAGAAATCAGCAGCATGGATAATCAGCAGCGTGGATAAAGTGACAAATTGCCAGTTAAAGTGGCATTCCAGTGATTTTCTTGGTTAGGGATTTATGAATCTAACAGCTTCAGGGTAGAAGCTGTTCCTCAGTCAAGTAGTTCTACACTTAATGCTCCGCAACCTCCTTCCTGAGGGGAGTGGAGCAAAAAGTGTGTGTGCTGGGTGAGTGGGGTCCTTCATGATGCAGGTGGCCCTCTTTTTGCATCTGGAGGTGTAGATGTCTATGATGGTGGGGAGGCTGACTCCACTCTCTGCAGAGCTTTTCTTTCTGCAGCTGTGCAGCCTCCATGCCACACGTTGATGCTGGAGCACAGGATGCTCTCCACTGCACACCTGTAGAAGGAGGTGAGGACTGAGCTTCCCAGACCAGCTCGCCTCAGCCGCCTGAGGAAGTAGAGTCTCTGATGAGCTTTCTTGATCAGGCTGGTGGCGTTGTTGCCCCAGCTGATGTTGTCATTCTGGTGCAAATCTGACAGAGCTTTAGTGAAAATGTCCAGCAGAGGAAAAGGCGGGAAAGGACTCGGTAAATGAGGCGCTAAGCATCACCGTAAAGTCCTCCGTGAAAACATCCAGGGAATCACTAAACCTGCTATCTGCCATCTGGCTCACCACAGTAGAGTGAAGAGGATCTCCGGTCTGATCGAGAAGACCCGCAGTGTGTTGAATGTCTTTCTGGAGAACATGAATCATAATGCCGTTACCTACATGAAGCACACCAAGAGGAAGACCGTGACTGCCATGGATGTGGTGGACGCCCTGAAGAGACAGGGCAGAACCCTGTACAGCTTCAGAGGTTAAACTGCTGCTGCTGACCAAACGTCAGATGGCACAATGGATGGTTGATGAGCGTGGGTAAAGCTATTTCTGTTGTCCTTTCTATCGTGGATTTTATTTTCTGATCTGTGTGGTTGGATGTAGATTAAATCTTTGTTCTCTGTTTTAATGAATATTGTCCTAAATGAGTAAAAATGTGAAACAGGTGCAACAAATGCCTGTTTTGGTTTGTTTTATTTATTGTCCAGCAGCAGGATGGAGAGTCAGACAACAACCAGCGGTTTCTGCTGCTTTGGAGAAGATAAAAAAAGAAGAATGGAATAAACTGCAACATCTTTGGATAACGTTCCAAAAATGAAAGACTTTCCTGCCTCTGCTGAAGTCACAGAGCCTGATCAGGAGCTCTGGAGAACTCCTGTTAGCTCGATAAGTTTCATTTGAAGGTTTTATTCCAAATATGGAGCGAATGTGGTTAAATAGAAGTCTGTACCTGTTAAACTCTGGTTAACTCAGATTATGTCAGATTGGGATTATTATAATATTTGAGCAGTTCAGAGAGCCATTTTTAAATGCATTTGATCATAAAAACTGGGACAAACCATCATAAATTGAACTTCATGCATGAAGTTTCAGGAGTTTTAGGAAGATAAAACAAAATGTATTTGTTTCCTCAGAGCTCAGTCTTTCAGCTCATTTTAGCTGCCTGTTGCAGCTGAAATGAAAGTTTAATTTTCTTTACAGCAGGGAGGACAGACAAACCAGAAGAACAGATTCCACTGTCTATAAAGTCTCCATAAACTTCAGGCTCACATGGTTTACTGCTGCTGTAAAACAAAAAGGCTGCAGATGAAATAAATCAGGACTAATTCCTGTGACGGGAGCTAAATAAAGTCCCTGTCAGGCTGAAGCTGTGTGAAAGACGAGGGGACGACATGTTGACTGTTGTCCTGTTTGCTCTCGTGTCCCTCGGCTGTTTTTGGACATTGGTTATTGTTGGACTTTGTTCTTCTGCAGGAAAACTTGGAGTTCTTGTTTGGTTTTCTGTCTGAGCATCGGCTTTATCTGCTCCCTACGTGAAGTCCCTGAGTGTCCAAAGTCTCACGGTGTCTTCGAGCTGTTTGGAGACGCTAACAGGATTCCTGTTGGGTCCAATTGTTGGATTTTTGGAAAGAAACCGAGATGTTCCTGTGTTCTCACGTCTAAAATATAGTAAATTACTTAAAATTCAGTCAGAACTTAAGCTAAAATGAGCTAAACAAACAAACAAAAACAAACAAACAAACAAAAAAACCAATTAGCTAAACAAAAGCTAAACTCCAATAATGGTCAATCAGGTCATCTAGACATTTTCTGTTTTGTGGAAAGACGTTTCGCCCTTTATCCGGAGGGCTTCATCAGTCTGAGGAGTCCCAAGTAAACTGTTTTCCCCACCAAGCAGTACACTCCTTCAGTGGACCAACCA